TCTAGCTCAAGCAACCCAGAAGTTAAGCAGCATCTATTCTGTATCTGATTCAGATTTCATCTATACAATGTCAATGGATAAAGCTCCTGCTTTGTACAATATTTTTAAGATGCTCTCATGAAAGAGAAACTTTAGCCAGCCAGTTGCAGAAGGAAAGTACTTCCCACAGAAGATGACTCTGCAGCCACCCTAGTCCTAGAGTATTCCTCTCACAGTAAGCAGGAGAGCATGAATTGGGGTGGGGGGGAGGTCAATGTTTCCAAGGGATTACCGTATTAACTGTGCTCTGTCTTGTGGGGGATCCTTCTTGTGAATACTGCAGTTTATTATCAAGCCTAAAATTTGTTGAATCTATTTGAAAATATTTATGAGAAGTACTTTTCAGATGTGAGTCTCAGAATCTGTGTCTAGACTTGTGCTCTCCTAATTGGGGAACTTGAAGTTTTTCCAGTTCTGTCCCATAAAACGCATCTTTTTCTTCACAGTAGGTTTTTTTTAAAGGAAACTTTCTTCTACACAATAAGACAAGATTTTTTCTATATGTTTTCAATAAGCAGAGCACGGAAAGCCCCAATTCTTCTCCCGCTCTTCATTAAATTCCTTGGCATGGACAGCAATAGAACATTTCTCACTTTAATACCCTAACTTCCATTTGACACATGACAACTTTAATCATCCGCAGCTTTTCTTCAGCAGTGAAGATAATGCCTCAAAATATTTCAGAGGATTTCATTTCCAATTCTTCCATTCTTTTTAAAAAATAAATAGCGGCCACAAATGTGGGGGTTTTTAATTAGACAAAATCTAGCCTGAGCTTGCAAATCCCCCTTCAAAGAAATGCCCATTGACTTCACTAGAACATCAAGAGATCTTGCAGGACTGATGCAGACACTTATTTTAAATCACAGTTACAGTCCTACTCAATTTGATGGTACTAGTCACTTAAATAAGCGTGGAAAGCTTGTCCCTAATTATGAAGCAAAAGTAATTAGATTTATGCAACAGATTTATAAGAGAGCCACATCGTACAATATTGCAGTCAGATCAACGGTGAAACCTTAACAGCGTGATAAGTGTACTCTTAGAGCAGTAACAATTTTTCTGAGAGAGGAGGTAATACCTTAAGCAGCAAAGTCAACTACATTTTTATAACATTATGCAAAACAATTTATTTTATATTGAAGATTGACTATTTATATAAGCACTTCAGAAAGTTTACGACTTTCTGAAACTGCTTATTTAAAAAGTGTTAAAAAGGCAGCTACTCTCTGACCATCTGAGGTTAACCAAAACTGCATCGCTAATTATCATCTGACTAGAGATGCTGTGCTGGGGCCACAGGATTTTTATCTGCTTGGACACAAGTTAGTTAGTCAGCTAAAAATACCACCCACTGAATGTTTATTTACAGGTTGAGATCTCACAAAAATAGCATGGGAAACCTCAGACTTCCGCACCTTAGGTCACTGGGGATCAGGTGCTTTGTGTGGGATGGTGTACTTAAAGCTCAGGAAAATGAACTAGCTGATCGTACCGTTTCCAGTGTCCATAAAGTGATATATGAAGTTTCTATACTCCTCAGACTGTCTAGTGCACTTTCTACAACATGAATGTACGTTTTGTGATTGGATTTTGATGTCTCTCCTGGTAGAACGGTAACTTACAGGTGCCAGCAGCTGCTCCTGCAGGGGCAGAGTGGCACCGCAGAGCGCTCACCCTACGGCTGCTTCCCTTGAACTTCAGAACTCTCCCGTCATAAAGAAGTGTTTTAGAAGCCATGGAAAATACCGGAGGTCATGCCTTGACTATACAGTTGGAAAAAAATTCGTAAAATTTTCTGAAGGCCAGAATAGAATTTGAGTAATTCAAAAAACCAAAGAACCAAGCAAGTCTTCATTAGAATAAAACCACTGAAGTCAAAGATGCACCAGAAATGCAAAAGAGATTGGTTAAAACAGTGCAGACTGTTTCTTATAGTAACAGGTTTAGGATATAGCACAAATGCACTGGGGCGGGGGGGGGATATACATAACCAGCGCAGAGCTGTTTCTCATAATAATAGGCTAATAATAGGCATACCACAAATACACTAGAGGGAGAAAAACATGCATAAATACTACCTTTGAAAAATTTATGGCTACTCTTCCTGCCCTGCACAGCTATCCTATTTTTTTTTTTTTAAAGCAATTTACTAGTCATTTTCATACAGGTGGCTTCCAGGCATCAAAGAGGAAGACAAAAGGTACGCTTCTTCAAAGAGGATTCAAAGATAAAGTAATTGAAACTCAAATTCTAGAGACTGGGGAATTTGCCGTCAGTACCATTATGATGATGATAGTCCATATTATTGAAGGACTTAGCTAAAATTCATTCAGAAAAAGAAAAACTTCCCATTTCATGAGGGATTCAGCTCCTAAAGCCCACGTTCGTATTAGAGCAGGAACTTTCAGGCTGACAACTGCCTTGGAAAACATACACCTTTCATGCTAGCTATCCCAAAAACTAGAAATGCTGATTTAACAGCCTTCTTTCTTTCAACTGCCCTGGAGAGCAATTTATTAGCTGTCACAGCTCAAGGGAATCATAATCTAATTTCTTTACTAATTCCAAAGACAAATACAGCTTTATTTCCCAAATATTTTATTTATTTGTAATATGCATGTACACAGCAACTATCAGCTCAGCTCCTGGACACAAGTTACGTTAGGAGCAGTAAAATCTTTCAGATAAAACCTGTCTCAGGATATAGTAAGGAAAACGTTGATTACGGCTCATGTTAAAAATCTGAATAGTGATCACAAGAGATAAGAAAATATGGGTGTTTCCTCAATGCAAAACCTAAAATAATATCTTTGATTCCATTCCTGCACGTTTCCTAAAGAATAGAGCAGCTCCAAATGTAATATATCTGAAAAATACTCTGCCAAAAAAAGGAATGTTCTTGATTAAAGTAGAACATAAAGGTGATATGAGTGATGGATTTGATTCACAATAGAATTGCCTTTCTCTTTTTTCATTACAGCACATACTTTCTATCATTTTTCTGTGTTTAAGTTATTCTAGTGGTACTTAGGTGATATGTTTCACTAGGAAGTAGAAAAAATTTAAAAAATTAATTTTAATAATACATAATTAATTGTATTACATATAGAGTATTGTGCATATGCAAATAATGTTTGGTTTCTAAAATGCATTTACTAAAACATTAACTGAATGATCTGAATTAAAATGTATGTTAACAAAATCCACAGATAATGAGCAAATTTATCAATTTATTTGGCTAACATCTGCTCTTTTTTGGTATAAATTATTCAATCGCTATCCCATTCCCCCAGCATTCACATTATTTTAATGAGTAATCCAAGCAATAAAGAAAACTGAAAAGCAAGCATAAAACTGAAAACGCAGACCATGTTTATTCTGAAGAAATGTATGCCAACATATTGCAACAGGGCCTGGATAATTTCTTTCAGAATAGTCAAAATTCTAAATTTTTTCAAAATTCAGACCTGTAGGTTGTTTTTTTTTTTTTCTTAAGTTATTGCTATCATAGCATCAACGAGAAAGAGTCCTGGAAGACAGCTCTTGTTCTGGATATGGTAGAAACCCCAGACTCTAACAACGTCCCTGTGCTACAGAGCTTGAACATAACAGTAAATGAATGTGAAAAGAAATGATCTTTTTAAGAAACTTCACTAGGTGAGATTAAAGAACATTTTGCAACTCAGCTCTTAAAGCTACTCAAACACTACTGCAAAGATCTTTGCCGATTGCTGCTTGAAATACATTGTCTCTGTCAGCTTCCCTTCTTCAAGTGCACCTTACTTCAAAACTCCAAAGCAATGTTTTCAGAGGTATGCGTAAGGACACCATGTTTCATGTATGGCTTTCGACTTGTCCCTTGGCTCTGCCAACAAAACCAGTCTACGCTGTCCTTTAGACAAATGCTTGCAACAAGACATTTGGAACTTTCTTTTATACTATCCCTACACCTGTGCCGATACCAGAAAAGATCACTTCAAAACAGCTACAAAACTGACACGAGCATGTTGCAAAATTTATTAATCGAAGTCATCTCAATGCCATCATCTGCTCATCTGTCAATTTGTTGTAACATCTCTTGCTTCTCAACCCGTATTTAGAATGCAAGTTGTTTGGAGAAAGGATTTTCCTTCGTTAAAATTACACGAGGACCCGTGCCTTGTTACAATTAATAAATAACAACGTCTAACAGGGAGCAAAGAATATGACTATCAGTAGATAGCTTTTCAGACAAATAGAAGAATGGGCAGACCATCAGTATGAGAATGAAAACTGAAGGACTAGTGGGCACACTGGGCTCGCTTGCTTTACAAGCCTGTTCAGAAAGGAAGTTTAATCTCATTCTGCCACAGCAATACAAAACCAAGCAGCGCTGGAGAGAGTGGGGTGGACTTTGCAGAAAACAGCTGTAGCAGTGTGACATCTGAAAGCAGCCTTCTGCAAAGAAGCTCAGCAGAAATTCTGAAAACTCTCAACTTGATAGCCAGGCATATTTTATCTTTTTTTTTTTTTCCATCTGCATCCAAAGGATGTAATTTCCTTAGCTAGAACATGAATGTTATCATGGCTTGAGTATTTTGAAGAGTACAGCTATATTTAGTGTCCATGGTTTCAATTAGAACTGGAACTTCCCAATAGCAGGTCCAATAGGGTTAGTCCACCACAGCATAACTTAAGTTCTGAATACAGGTACTCTACCACTTCACATATGCAAACCTGCAAGACACTATCAAGAAAGAAGATCCAAAAAAGGCTAATATAAAGCTTTACTAAAAACAACACAGAAATTTTTTAGGCACTATCAGCTTTCTATAGAAGGGTGCCATTGAAGAACAAGTCTGAAAACACAGCTTGAGATACATTAAAATGTTTATATGAAACAATCCAGCCTTAAAAACCTGGGGAGAGAAGGTCTTTGGAACTCACTGTTGCAAACTTCTGGCCTTCAAATATCTTACCTGATTACATGTGTTAATGTCTATTCCACTCTTCAGGTATTCCACTACTTTGTCCAGATTGCCAGCTCTTGCAGCTCGGAGAAAGCTTGCATTGCTGTCAGACTGTAAAAAAGATAAGAAAAAATCCTCTAGTTAGCTCCTGCTTAAAAGAGACCACAACTTCATCACGGTCAAAGGTTTCCATGTTTGATGCCGCAGAAGCATAAATTTGTGAAGAAAACTGACTTTGTACTATGTCTCCATTAATTAGCATATGCATACAAGGCAACACTGGCACAAAAGAACTGTAGATCTGTCTGGGCAAGCAAAAATAGTGCAATAATTGCTCAAGTTCAAAAACCGAGCAAGAGCCGAAGAAAAGAGAGAAATCGTAGCAATTAGTATTGATAATGAGGGAAATAAAGTAAATGCATCGACTTCCTAGCAATAGCAGTCTGGTTTTTGTATACGTGCTCAAAACTTCCAAACATAAGTGACCCATAACATTATTAGCTATACTACTTAAAGAAAATATGCATTGGCCTTGGATTCGTAGTCGCTTACAAAGTTATATAACTACAATCTGTGTTCATGCACACACAACAGCTCAGGGTTACATACTGCAGACAAGACAGACATGCGAAGGCCAAATAGTCCTATGGATATATTTTATCAGCTGCAACACAGAAGTGGGCCATGATAACGGAAAATTAAAAACAAAACAGAACAAAACAAAAAAACCTGGGCAGCATTGCAACTGCTGCTAACCCTACAACAAAGCGGATGAAGTACTCAAGCCTGAGTATTTAAATCCAGGATAATGTTGCAAACATGCTCACTCCTAAACCGCTCGTACTCACATATTCACATGTTAAGCCCTACTAGTATTTATAGGTAGCGTAAGAGAAAAAAAAAAAAAGGTTTATTTTTCAGCTAGATTGTGGGATATATGGTTAAGCAAGGCAGTATGAAATGCTTCAGGCCTCTTGCCTTTGAAACCAGCATACACTTTGATGTTCACCCACACGTGAACCTACACTCATGTAAATGGGACCAGGAGAAAAAACGTCATGCAACAGATATTAACATTTAAAGAGAATAAGCTTTTGGGGACACACACAGAGACAGCAGCAATTTTCATACTTAAACAAATAGAGTGGGAGTGTATTTCAGAAAGTAGATAAATAACTGTAAAAGCATGTTTTGTAGGGCCCGGATCAGAGCTACAGGAAGATATGCACGCCACCGGGCGAGTACTTAGTGTTCCAGCAAAACACCTCCAAACTGGGTTGAACGCGTTTCTCATCTAATTTCACCTCCCTGCCAGAAACACCATTCTTTCATACCCTGGCAGTATACTAAAAGCCTCCCACTTTCACCTTATTAACACTGATCGACAAAGCAATTTATTTCAGTCACCCAATCCATTTCAGGACATTTATTTCAGCCACCCTTCTTATCATACTGTGCTAACAGCTTTACAATCACCAATCCCAACCTATTTTAACCTGCAACACATGGATGTCATCAAAATGATTCTTCTTACAACTGTGCTACATGCCAGGACAAAAATATTTCCTTTTAAATTCCTTTCAGCAAACTTGAGCACATTTTCCGCATCTTTTTAGCGTTAAGAAAACAGACCATCTTTCTAAACACACAGCTGGGTGAAGAGGAAGGTAGCACAGGAATTCACATTGAGAGAACCCTTTTATAGCTTCAGGCTTGAGTCAGTCGAGCGAGGCTTGACACAGCAGATGATTCTGAAAGAGACCCCATTTAAGAGCAAAGGATAGCTCTTAGCACTGCACCATCTCCTACGCTGTGAATGTGCACACAAAAAGCACAATCAAATTGTAATGCTTAAATGTCCTGAAAGAGCAACTGCCTTCGTGAAAACACTGACTAAGGTCAAAAATTAAAGCACCAGAGGGGTGAAATCCTAGCACTCTTGAAATCAATGGGAAAAGTATCTTTGCCTTCAACAGGACACACATTTTACCTGCTGTCTTTTTTCCCGTTTTTATTCATGCTTTAATATTTCCACAGTAATTTAGCATGTCAAGGCTGCAATCATCTGTTTTTAAACTTCTAGAAAGGTGTTAAGTGACAATGACAAAATAAACACCTAAAACTTCTCTTTTATCAGAGACGAATCCATCATCTCTTGCTTTTCTTTCACACAGAGGAAAGTATGATAGGCTAAAATGTTAAACTTGACTTATTGTTGGATGACCACAAATTTTAACTCTGACAATACTAATATATTTCAAGTGTTTTCATCACTTCCATAACAGGTTCTCACTTCCTTTATTCATACTTTTGTTATCTCAAAATTAAGTTAGTGCAACGCATATTGCTTGATGATGCGCTAGGCATATCTGAATATTGATCATAACACAAAAAATGTACTTCTTGTCTACACAAAGAGTTATTACGAATTAACTATTCATGATTAACTCCTTGTATAAGCACTTTTACTCCAGAAGCATCTCTTACTGCGTATGTTCTCATTCTGAAATAACAGTGGTTGACTGCGAATAAGAGAGCAGCGAGATTGCTAAAATCTCAGCAAGATCTCGATGTTTCACTTGCGTTCCTTTGAATGTCCACGTGGCCTATTTTTTTTCATGTGTTTTCTTAGTGCAGCATGTGCTGATCTGATGCTAGATGAATAGCATGGCACCCATTTCTTTGCAGTGCTGCCTCTCCCTTTTCTAAATAGCTCCTCACAGAATCATATGAAAAGCACGAGGAAAACAACTGCCAACACGCACGTGACAACTGCCTAACCCAGCAGGCACCTGCATGGAGCCACACCGCAGTACCTGCAATACTTAACAGTCGGGGATGATCAATGGATGTTAAATCAAATCCCAAAGACTGCCTCCTTCTCACTTTTTTATTTTAAGGGCTGGCAAATATACTTGGGAAAAAAACCTGATAAATGCAAGCCACAGCAGAGGAAACAAGCAAGCCTATCGAGCCCTTTTTTATTCTCTCTCTTGCATGACATTCCTGCTACAGTGTCTAAGATGACATAAAAATGTTCGTCATTTAAATCAAACTTGAACATACAACTCAAAGAAATGAAGCAGCAATTCACTTAAACTAGACCCTATGTATTTTTTATTCACACACAAACAGTAGTGTGTTCTTCCGTTAAACTCTCTACAGGGGCATTCTGAGATTCAGCACTGCATTTTAAAGCACAGGAAACCCACAAGTTAAAAGTGGAGTACTAATATCAGTATTTTCTTTGCTGGCTTGGTTTGTCAGCTCTGTAGTGTTTCAGTAGCTCAGTAGCTCATCAGCAGTCTCCCATTTCCCTGATTCTTTCAAGGTCTTTAGAAAGTCAGTACTGCTGTCGCAGCAATTTACTCACTTTGGCATACTCACAAATTCAAATTGATTTTAGGAAAACTGTCTCAGTAGTAAATATTAGCAGCTCCCTGTAGCCCTGCCATGCTACGAAACCATGATTCAGGATCTGTAGACTTTTCCAGTCGATTTAGTCTCATTTTGTTTCCTTGCATGTAGATTTTTATTTGAATTCATGGCACATTTCTGTAGCACAGAAGCTGCCATACTGGTCTTCATTAGTTTGTTGACTGGTGAAGACAAACTGTCTATGAACCGCCTTTCAAATACACTTCCTTTATGAGAAAGAAGATAAAAACATGGAACATGCATTGCACCACGTGACACTTTACACGTCACCTCTTCCTATGCATATACCTCTGAGATTTTTCAGAGGTACGCACATATAGGCAGATCATACCCATATCCCCTCTTCCCTTTCAAAAGCAAGCACTGTACTGGTAAGAAAAAGAAAGGATTACAAAAGAAGAGAAGGGTATGCCTTCAGCAGATACCAGCAACCACTTGCTGTGGCTGCCAGCAGGAGAAGGTTGCCGTGTGGCAAACTCAGATACTGACATCTGAACTTGCAAAGTCTCAGCTGGCATCTCTGCACGGCACTCACAGATCAGGCCACCCAAAGTTAAGGATCACTTTGCTTACCTGTGGCCACTAAGACTCTGCAATCTAAGCAATGTATTATCAACACACTACTAGAATAAGATATGAAGGGCTGAAGAATACTTAATCGAAATTTTATAGTGTGGGACAAACTGACAACCTGGTTGAATCAACAAGCTTTTTCTAACGCACTATTTTGAGGTATCTAAGCTGTTCTATGAAAAATACACTGCTAACAAAAGTATTTGACTGCTCCTTAGCAATTTTTTTTCACAGCAACTGCAACCAAATCTGTATTATTTACTTGCAGTTGTACAGTCATCCAAGTATTGATCACAAAGTAGGACAAGAGTCCTAAAAAAGTTTCCAACACTTATCAGTGAGAGAGTACGAGTCTTCGGCAACTTCTTTTTTCCCCACTCTATTCGCAATACAAGTCTAACACATGCTACGGATTTGTGGGGAATATTTGGTGTTACCAAACCTTATAAACAAATCCTTGAGCATCTTTTAATTTAACTTTTCTTCATTAACTTTTGACTGAGAATAAATAATGTCAGCCAGTATGAGAATTTTCACAGTGCTATGAACAAATGAACTACAATGTGAAATGACTGCCATAACCTTAAGTACATCAATAGCAAAGAACACTCACAGAAGAATAAAAAATGGTCTTTATAAATAGCTAGTTGCCAGACATTACATAAGAAAGATACAAGAGGAAGGAGAAAATGAACGTACCTGTTGGGGAAAAAAAAAAAAAAAAGCCTAAGCAGCAATGGATTCCACTTCCTTCTTGCTAATTGTGGTGCCAGAATTTTGCCTGATTTTGAAACACTTACAGCCCAGGGAGTCTCAGTAATTAAACCATATATGGAAATTAGTATTTTATTCTAAGAGTCAGAAACCTTCCTTCTGGGTACTCTGTGCTTTCTCCAGGTGCCTTTTCTGCCTCATAGCACACCACATCACTCATGGCACGTAACATGCCCCTATTTCTCAAAGGCATTTCATAGATATGTGTAAAAATACATTGTGATACACAGGGTTGAAATCACATGCTGTACAAAAATCATGGGACTATCTCAGCATAATCATATTATAGCTGCTGACAGCTTCATGCTTAGAAACAAAATATTGAG